TTTGACACTAATTATTGGATAACATATTAGGATAAATCTCTGGAGGATTCAGATGAAGGCCTTGAGGAGAATTCAAGTAATGCAAAATGCAGGAAGAAGCAAATTAATGCAGACAAGAAGAAGCCATGTCTATTCACTAATGATTCAGAGTTGGTGAGCCTTAACATTTTTCATTCCAGTATAGTTTTTCACTTAATTTATTCTAGGAGTCCAAGGACCAAATATCTGAAGGCCACAAATTGGAACTCGACTCTGCCATAGTACTGCGGCTCACATGCAGTGCAGCTCACCAGCAGAATCTTGGTAAGTTAAGAATTACATCATTTATTACTCAGGCCCTTATTCACTATCCAATAGATAAAGCTAAGACGCCAGAACCAGTAACTATCAATGAAAAATATTATGTGAAGGAACTGGAACCCTTTATCACTCCATACCACTGTGAAGCAGATTTTGATGAATCTCGCTATGACTTGCATGCCTTTTGAAGGACCACATGCATTGTCACTCCTGATGGCAAGATTTTACTCCAATGCTCAAACTTGAAGGAGGTGGTGGCTGTTCATAAGGATTGGTCCACAGACTGCGACAAGATGATAGGTCCAGTGGGAGGATATCTTGGAAAGGGGCTTAGAAAGGGCGCTTTTAAGGTATTTAATTATTTTTTACACCTGCTTCGTTTTAATATGTTATTATTCAGGGATATATTGGCCATGCTCAACTGGCCATTTTTCAAGTTGGTGGAGTCTTTCACCAACATGGTGTCTCAGACAGTTTTAATCACACTCTCCTCAAGGAAGATTTCAAGTTGTTGATAAAAGCAGACTACCATCTCAATGTTTTTAAGCAGCGGGCAAAGTATTATGAGGTAGAACTTCCAAGTATGTGTTCTTTTCATTACTTTGATTTCTTTCTAACTTCATCTTTAGGATTCCGTTATAATGCCAATGGATCCTTCTTTAGTAAACTAGCATTGAGGACAGCGATGCTTCAAATTCATTGCACAATGCTGTCAAGAATTTTTCCATTTTATATGATGCATTCTTTGCTGTACCCCTCCTTGACATAGCTAGCCAACAGAAAATTCGCTTTACTGGTAAAGAGGGTATTGGTTGAGGACTTGAAGAACAAGATGAAATGGATGACATTATTGCAGCATTCACCCATTCCGTCTTAGTGGACAGCAAGCACACAGTTATTGTTACCAATATTCAAGGTGAATAATCTGAGCATTCCAAATTTCCCAACAGTTTCTGTTATCTTACATGCAAGAATTGTAGGTATTTTTCTTGACAATGGTGAGCTAATTTTCTATGATCTACAATACATGGGTATGGATTTATTTTATTTTATTTTCCTCTTTAATAAATATCATTGTACAGTGTAGGTAGAAGATGGAGCACTGCTGATGATGGAAGGAAGACTATCAATCAATTCCTTAGGCACCACAAGTGCAATACTTATTGCTGCAAATTGTGCTTAGAAGGTGCCTTGCCCGAATCCGTTGTCAACCCTTTTGTACAAGCTGAGGCAACAAAGCCCCTTGAACCTGGACTTCCTTGTTTGCAATCTATTACTTCCCAACACATTCAGGATGTAGGGGATAATCTCATCCTTCCTCCTATTAACTCTTCTGCTCGTCATGGCTCCAGGCCACTTCACCTAGGTACACTTTTTTGAATCACTTTCTTTCCAGTATATTTATAATTTTGTATAGGCTTTCTCCTGTGAAGTGAGTGCTTGTTGTGGGAGGTTAGATGTCAGACTATTTAGTTACTGGGGTTTCATAGATGTCGAGGAATTTATTAGTCTATTTGAATACATTACAATTCCTCTTCAAAAATGAGTGAAAACATGTCCTGAAAAATCACCCATACATTAGTAAATGACAGCTCCTGAATATTTAAGGATGATAATGCTTGTTTGCAGCATGTTGCAAAGGGGGTGGAACAAATTGAAGGAGCTCTTCTGCCCTGAGTTGCTTTTTCAAGTCACTGATAAGAGTACGTGCCTCTTTAGTCAAGCTTCAAAGGCAATTAATGCCACCATACTTTTCATAGAGAGAAAAGGCAAAATTAGGAGCAACACCAGACGGATTGAACTTCTGATGATCATGGCGAGGTTTGTGAGCATTAAATCTATCCTTCCATGCTTTAATCTCTTTTTGGATGAGGACAGACCAAAGCCATCAGGCAAGAGCACTTGGAATTAAGTTATGTGAGTGCTAAATTAAATGAAATGTTATTGGACTTACATATGCCGGTTGTCATATGTGTCATATATACCTTTGATGATTCCCTTGTCCCAGAACTCATCAACATTTGTGTCAAATTGAAACTTCAATTGGGACCATCCTCATTCAATAGTTATATTGTGGATCCTTCTTAAGAGCCAATGTGCGGGAACCTCATCAACAGGAAATTCAGGGAAGAATGCTTCTCTAAAATAGTATGTCAGACAAAATATATCATATTATTCTAGACATATCATAATGCAGTTGTGAGACCATATACCAGTGTTGTCTCTGAACCACAGTCCATTGTAGTTTGGATAGGGAGACCTGAGTATGGGATAAATTAATATAACATAATATGAGTATGGTACAGAGGAATTTAACACTTGCCACCATATTATTCTACTAATGATAGCCACAGATACACTACAACATCTTTGAGCCTGTTATCAGGGATAACCCACAAGCCCAGCAATTTTCCCAACCAGATGTCCCAGACACCATAAATAGCAAACCCAATTCTTTTTAGCTTGTCATGCCCATCTCCGCTCCACTCTTCGTGAATACCTAGATTGACAAGTGGCCTTCTCTTGATCCTCTTTGAAGTAGGGTCATGTAGAGCAAAACCTTCAGGGTCTTGAAGCCGCATTTCTTCCTCTACAAATGCACTAAGAAAATAGTTGTATAGTTGTTTTGAATAACTACTGAATTTAATAAGATATCATACCGAGTTAAATCAAGCCCCATTTGCATATGAATTCCTTCTTTAATAAGTACAGGACCTTGACGTCTTCCCGGATCCATCTCAAGTTGATCAAGTACTAACTGACACTTCACAGTATCTGGGAGAGTTTGGGTTGTTGTATGACTATTCATAATTCCATAATCCTTCTTTCGTCATGATACAGTCCTAGCACTGGAAAAAGCATACATAAATTGTCCTAATGCTTTTCAACATGTGGTGCAGTGTACATACCTCATTCGTATATTATGATCGGCTAAGAGCAGCTCACTGATTGTCTTTGGACTTTTTACTCCCTGTTTATCGTAGCTGTAGAGGAGCTGTTTAATATGTTCACTATTCCTGGAGGCTGATAAACAGTTACAGACAATATTATTATCATAGAGAATACATATGGCAATCTTTATATTGATTACTGCCCATTGGTTTTAGAATAAACACAAAGGGAGGTAGCGCATCTGCATCCTCAGAGTCTGACATGAGATATAAAATAAGACGTAGCTGGGGGGAACACCTCTGTAGGCATATCCACAACTTCAGACAGCTCAGACTCATGGAGACCTTGTGTCTGCCTTGCAGTCAACACACTTTTTCTGTAGGTCTTCTTCATACTCAAAATATCGATTGATACTATATTAGGAACGTTCTGAATATATTTTACATAGCATCCTTCTCAAATTATGTATTAGATTATCTTGAGATTACCAGAAATAGTGCACGTGGGAACAACGGGCCGAGACTCAACTGTTTCGTAGTTTAATGGCATACTCCTTGATTAAACATGTCTTGAATATCATACCTCTTAAATATCACTTGAAATTATTAGTTAAATAGCGAAAGAGAAGACGTCCAAAAACCAAAAGCCATTGATGAAATTCCAATGTCTAATGTCTGTGATCCGAACTCCATTGTTTGAAGCTGGCGCCTGTGGTGCACCATACATGATCTATCATCTCATTATGAAACATCAAGTTGAGCACCGAGGGTTTTAAGCAGCACAAAATGATCAGATTCCTTGCAATAATTGAGTAATGTTAACAAACGTCTCTTACAGATTCCTCTCCAGATCCTGATTCAGATTCAGATTCAGAAGATCCAGCTTCACTTTCATGTTCCAGTACTCTGACATAGCTTTTCTAAAACCCTCCCAGAACTGTCCCGGCAAGAAGCTTGGGTCCTCTGAAAATTGCTGTGCTGTGTACAATATCCATCCTTAGGCAGTTAAAATTATGACATTGAGATCTGCTGGCACATCTTTTGTTAAGGTACTGGTGTCACCATATAGCACAACATGAAAGGCTGCTGCCTATTACAGCCTCACTGGGTGTTGGTCCAAGAGAGAGGCTACATGATGGTGACAGTAGAGTTAAACAATATGGAAAATGCTACAGTGTATCTAGTGTTATGTCATCAAAGCGGGACCTAATATATGTGTAAATAATCCGGCAGGATTACATGACATTTATTAAGGTATCTATGTCACTGTGTGGCATAACATCTGTTAAGGTAGCAGTGTTACCCGTTCCATACTCTGAATCACAATAATGCCAAAGGCACAGAAATGGGGACACCAAGGTTATAACCAGTATGAGCTCGCTAGAGCTGATTGTGCCACTGGACGCCTTGGACATAATGATGTTAGTTATAAGAGGATATGTGGAATTAGGAGAGGAAGATGATAGTGTGAGGTGCTTAGTCATCTGGCCTTTATACCTGCATGCCTTTGTTCTATCACTATTTGGGCATGTACCCAGAATACAATACACATCTATTTTTAAGCGGGATACTTGCAGAACAAATACCGCAGTTCGTAGAACCAGCTGTCGGCGTAGTCTATGATGAACATATGAAAGGACCAAATATAATGACACGGAGCTCCCTATCTTTTTTATGCTCGTGCAGCTCTGTTTCAGACTCACTTAAAAAAATTAGATAGTAATCATCACAGAACCCAAAGAGAGAAACACGACTCCTAGTACCTTACCCACCCGTGCCCTGCTATCTAAATCCCGCCGCACATCCAATGCATTGCTAGCTCAATAGGTAGAGCGTGAGACTTTTATGATTAGTCCTCACATGTGGACAACATTAATACATAATAATCTCCAGGTTGCAGGTTCAACCCCTGCGTGAGGCTACCCTTTTTTCATCACGGACACTGGGGGTGGAGGGGGGGTTGTTGAAAAACGCCTCTTCTTCACCCCCGCTCCTTGACTCCTTAGCCTCTTCATCATATAATTCCCTCCGTTTCATTCGGGATTCGAATTCAGAGGCGGGGTGGCGATTCACTTGGCGACTCGACATGATTAAGATTAGGATGTGGAAGATGAAATGAAAGTGTCGTGCTTGTTGACTCGGAGAGCGTCCAGGGATGATAAGGGGAATGATAATGTTCCGAGGAGGGTGAGTGGGAATTATCCGAGGTGAGGATGTAGGTATCTGGTTTTGAGTTGACTGAATGTCGGATTTTCAACACACTAATGACTTGTATGTATAGTTACTCGCTTCTCTGTGAGATATGATCACTGGCATGAGTGAATTACGGATGAACCTAAATGTCAAGTGTCGTGTTCACAGTCAATCAAGTATACGGAAAGGAGCTCAGCGATCTGAGAAAAGGAAATAATATGACGTTGGATACCAATAATAATAGTGTCTCGGTACTGTATTATTGCATGACATTGTTAACCATAGGTACTTCTTAACTTGGCATAGTACTACTCCTCTGCACTTAATATATCAGTGCCAGTGGCGCCCCAGCTGAACACCACCATTCGAACACGACGAATACGTTTATCGAATATGTTGGTATGACATCTTGATAGGACTCTTCCTTCCTATAAATTTAAAGTGAAGTGAAACAAACTAACGAGGATCACACGGAAACATTCAATTCTAACATTTAATTTCAGTTGGTAATTCCCCCTCCCCTTCAAATAATCTCATATAACTACTTACAATGAGACTTATACACCATGTTGGCCATAGCTCTGAAATCTTTATACTTAATTGACTGTTGATTGCGAACATTTGGCATTTAGGCTCAACCGTAATCCACTCGAATAATCTATCGTCTCACTTCACCACCACCACCATCCTAACCCCCCACTGACGGTCGTAATAATAATATCCCTCTCAACAATTTAATCATTTTCCTTCGAATAATTCCATCCTCGGCTTCATCCTATTAAATCATGTCGTCCTCAAGAGCATTATCATACGCTATCCATATCCATTTTTTCCCTAGGTAGCTCTGAACTGCTTATAATTATAATTATAATTGACTAATATCTGCCATTACATTTGAGATTTAACATGGGTGATTTATGTTTGGCACAATCCGACTCCGAATAAGCAAGAATACATATAAGTAATTCATTAGTGTCTCCTGAAAGACATGTAAATCAAATGCCCACATACAGCTCTTCTTCTATCCCTCCTCCTCCCTTCACCCCTCGATCCATCTCATCTCCTTCGCCACTCGTCAAAATATTCAGAGCTCAGAGGCCCAATCGTGACATTCATCTTGCATTCCTAATTTCGATCACACAGTATTCTTAATAAATATTCTGCGTCAAGAGCACTTCCCTTACGGCACCGAATTTGAAGGTGAGCAGCGACTGTTTTTGGTACAGTATTATTCTCTAAGCGTGACATCGTTTCAGCTGTGGTTCAACTTGTAAAAGGAGAATCTACATTGCAACAAGAAGACCGCTATGTTCGTAGTGCAGAGGAATATGATATCAGGTGAAGTGAAATTTAGGCTGGTTATTTGCATGTTCAAAGCAATAAGTGAGCTTCTATTGGAAACTAAGCAACCCTCAAATGATACTGCCTTTAAATAGTTAAATAAATGGCAAGAGTTCAAAATTGAAGCATGGTTTCCAAATATTCAAGATGTAAGTTTTATTGTTCAAGATACTGTCAAGAACTAGAGTTAATGTTGTGTTAAGGCTAACATAGTACGAAGGCCACCTACGCCCACAGCGTCGCAGATGATAACATCTGCGCGCTAATTATTTTCTCCCCTCAGTTTTTACCACTGCGTTCAACTGAGGTATGTCTTTGTGTTCATTGTTTATATTTATATCTTACTTATGTATTATGGTAGCTTTTACATATAGGTATTGTTATACATCTGAGTTGTTACCACTGCATTCAACTGAGCCTTTACATATAGCTTTGAAAGATACATTCTTGGTCTCTTATTTTTATTTCTAGCAATTGTAGTTTCCCACGCATCCATCACTTCTCAAAGTGCAGCGGCTCACCAAATACTCTTTCGTCGAATTTGGCAATTGCAAGTGAGGATATCGGTCAGCCGGTTCAATTTCGACACATCCATGACACTGGCTCCGAGATTTTCATGGCAGATGGTCATAAAGGGCAAGCCCTTGGTGAGTTAGACTTTATTGAAAGAAAAATCAAACATTACTAGCAACTCACGACCTAGGTTTAGGACAGTATTGGGTGGAAATATATCAAGGAATCGCGGAAGCGTGTCCCATTGAACCTGATCGCCTTTTGAGCAGTTTGACACCATATGAGCATCTTGCAAGATTCTATAGATACTGCCTGACGCATTATTACCGAAACGCTTCTGAACTTCGTCCTCATACATCTAAAGAGGTCTATAAGGCGATTATGAGCATACTCTCAGCAGAAATAGTCCCTAACTTCGAAGTTATTAAACATAATTCGGAAGGGAGGGAAAGGTCGTCAAATTATTCAGACAGGACGACGTTCCCTATGATTGTGGATTTGTGCGTTCACTTTAACTCAATCATTTCATTTTTATTTCGTGGATTTTGATTATACATGATAGAATGGGCTTCGGCTGGGCACTGAATTTTCAAAGGTACGGAGAGTGGTGGCGTGGTCATCGCCGGGCGATGCATAGCAAATTTCACCCGAGCGCTGTAGAGGTTTATAAGCCTCTACAAATTAAACATACAAGGTATTCTTCAGAAATATACTCTAGGAATAATTAGTAATTTTTGCATGAAGAGACCTACTCCATCAATTACACAAAGCGCCTGAGGACTTAATTAAGCATATCCGACATACAGCTGGCGCGATTATTATGAAGGTAGTACCTTGCAATTACCTATATGGTATTTCGTCTACTCATTTTATTGTAATGCATTTAGGTTGGATACGGGATCAATATCAAGTCCGAAAACGATCCTTACATTCATACAGCTGAAGAAGCCATGAACGCTGTAGGAGAAGCTGCCGTCCCTGGGAGGTTCATGGTTGATATGATCCACTGGAGTACTTTTTAGAGTTTAAAGCATTCAGAATATCTCATTTGATAATGTATTCTAGTGGAATACATCCCCGAATGGGCTCCAGGCGCTTCGTTCAAGAAACAAGCTAGGATATGGAAGAAGTATATTCTAGATGTGACGGATTTGCCATTTGAGCACGTAAAGGCGCAGATGGTAAGCGCTTTCTATAATGATCATGTCACATTCTAAATTGAATTTATTTACAAGGCAAACGGAACGGCACAACCTTCGTTTACGTCCACTCACTTGGAACGCCTCGCTGCAACGAACGATGCGCCTGCCGATGCAGAGCAAGTTGTCAAGGGCACTGCTGCTGCTATACTTTTAGGAGGTTCTGATACGGTAGGCCTATAATTACAGACATTCGAACTTTTCGTCATCTGATGAAATTTAAACGCATATAGAGTGTCAAGACCCTAACTACGTTTGTCCTCGCCATGGTTATTTTCCTTGACGTCCAAAAGAAGGTCCAAGAGGAGTTAGATGCCGTGCTCGGAGGCGTTCGATTCCCCGAATTCGAAGATATGGCAGCACTTCCGTATACAATAGCTGCATATAAAGAAGCAATGAGGTGGCATCCCCTCCTTCCACTGGGTGTTGCTCATGCTGCTACCCAAGATGATGTTATCGATTGTTATTTGATTCCAAAGGGAGCTATCGTGTTTGGGAATTCTTGGTATATTAGGAATCTACATAATGGCTGCGAATAACTAAATTTCATTGATTATGTAGGGTTTTGCTTCGTGAAGAAGTGGATTTCGGACCTGATACGGAGAAGTTTGATCCCGGACGATTCATGGAGTCAGGAAGACGCGATCCAGGACAAACAGGTGCATTCGGTTACGGGAGACAGTAAGGCATCCAAGCTATTAGTTCGACAGACTGCGTTCTAACGACGCTCCGACTAGCGTGTGTCCTGGACGTTACATGGCGGAAAATTCGTTGTTCATCGCAGTTGCGTCCATCTGCCAGAACTTTGACATAACGCCCGCAAGAGACAGTTCAGGAAAGGAAGTGATGCCAGAATATGAATGGACCTCAGGTTTATTCTCATATGCCACTCCCTAAATGCTTCCCTGTCATCATAATCTGATCACTCCCCGTTTCTTTAGATCTCCAACTGATTACCAATGTACCATCAAGTCGCGATCAAAGGCAGCCGAAGAACGCATTCTCTCCATTCCCGCTGAAGTATAAACATATTTACTTATTTTTTCTATCAGGTGTCTACGGATTACGCCGGTGAGTGTCTTTGCGCTTGTATTCCCTCTGTAATTACATTAGGTGTGAGGATAATACTTTATCCAATGAATGACACGCACCAAAAATTCAGAGAGGAGTGCATCCCTTCGAAATCGAGTATCTCTATGCATAGATAATGATCAATTAGACCGTCTTAGTCTATAATCGAAAGAATTACCCGGCATTAATTTCTTTGAAATGTGGCCACGCAGTCTTAGTCTCCGCCGACCACTTCTCAATCCTTTCTAGCTGGCACATTGAAGTCATGTAAATATCTTGACAAATCTCTAATAATATATACTGGATGCCACTAATATTTCACCACACATCCTAAACCATTGCAAACGAAGTCAATGAACTTGGAATTTCGGGCTTAAGCGTAGGTCCCTTTCTCCCCAGGTCCCTGATAGGTACCTCAACCACCGCTCATTTCCTCTCTGCTTCCTGTTTTTTTTATCTCTGCGTCAGATGTCTCTCTGGCTCCTGTCATCTCTTCTTCAGATTGAAGTATTTCTCCTGTGCCAGGATCGCTTTAATTCTATCGTGGGCTTTCAGAAGAATCTGACTATTGTATTTTCAACAATAACCCTCACTTCTGAAATAT